TTATAGACGGGTATCTATTTGCTGTCTTATGGTGCATTTAGCTAGCTCGAAACTCGGAGAATATTAATAAATAGTACTCATTACTTCCGAGTTGTGGGATATCGCGACCTTTTTGGGATCTTTATAAACTGAAGGGCATGGTCGCTACCAGGATTATAGCATTGCCAATCTTCCATAAAATTGGAAAATCATAATTCATGATAGATAGCTCAGTTTGTTGCTTTGAAAGGGCTTTCTTTTTTTCTATTTTTATTTTTCTTTTTATTCCTTTTGAATGATGTCTCATTCTCATTTCTTTTATCTTCCTTTCTCTGGTCTTTATAAGTTCTTTTATCAATTTTTTTTACAGCCATATACACTTGGTTGATACTCGGATAATTACTGGTCTCACTTAGTGTCTACAAGTTTCCATCAGCAAAATGAAAAATAAAAAAAGATATTGACAGTGAGATTTTATCTCCAGGAAGTAGCTGAAACTTTTGGGCAGTATAAGATATCATGGTCGGTTAAATTTGTTAGACGGCTTGATGTGAAAAATTACTTCTCCAAAGAAAGGATTCCAAGTGTTCAAGAGTAATTCCGTGTTAAGTAATATATTTTGTGTGTGCATATAAATATACATAAACGGATAGAATAATTGTTGCTATGAAAGTTGTTTTACAACTTCAATTTGTCTTGTTACAGAAATTCACGCATCCGGACGGGCCTCTTAACAGCATTTGTAAAACCCTGTGCATTTACAAGGCAAAAGAAAAAGAATCAGCACTACTACAATTTATCCAGCTCTTCAAATTAATCTTGTCCGCTGTACTCATGTTACAACAGATAAACATGGATAGAAATGGAATCAAGATTTCGGTCAAGTGTTGACACCCTAACTAAAATCTAGTGGCCACATTACGCAAAAGTTACAAACCTTTGCTCCTGCCAATTTAAGGTAAAGAAATATGAAGGACAGTAATTTGATTCCACATAAATGAAACCAACTTTCATTTCCACCATGAAATTCTATTTGCCACAGACTATTTGCAAAGTGAATGCAGAGTATTATTTTCAATCTCAGACAGACAAACTTAACAGCAACCATTTCCAGTATGAAACATTGTATTAGCAGTCATCAATTATGCTGCATGCATCTGCTAATCTCATATGATTAAACAAGAGATCTTTTTTTGCCAACAAAGGAGATAATCTTATAATGAGAAATATGCGAGGGATTTGAAAATGGTTTGTATAATGAGGAGACTCATAAACTGTCCACAGGCTCTTTTAGTTTTCCAAGTCTGCAGCATAAAGGTAAAATGTTTTCTACCCAACATCTTCCGAGAGCTAGTATAGCCACTGAAAATGCCTCCCAATTTCTAAGAACATGCTTAAGATTCTGGAATGCCTAAACTTTAGACTTTACCAACTGTTTTCACTCTGGAGAGAAAAACCTTAGCTGTTTGTTACGATAAATAATAATAGTAACGACAGAGAATAAATGGACTTAGTTAGCAGCAATAAGGAGAATCACAAACAAAAAGAAAAAGGGAGAGATATTTGAGAGAGAAAAAAGCCAGTGGGCAGCTAAAATTATCAAGCAGGGGCTTGATTCATCTGACATGACAATCAGAAGATAAAAGAGAGAATAATTCTCCACTTAAATTTTATTAATTCTCAAAAAAACTGGACCATACAACAGTACTGCTCTCCTTTTGTACTGGCTAATCCTAAACAGGGGAATAGCAACACAAGACCACCTGAATAAAGTGAAAAGTATATTCTGTAAGTAATTCTTTTCCAGTCCAAGGTTTGGGATCTAGTCATGGGTCTATCCACGGTAAAATCTAGCAGAAAGCTTGAAGCTTGTTTAATTTTGGCCTTAAGACCAATCATTAGGACTCATCATAGAGCCTTCAGTCTACAAGAAATCTAGCAGACCACCTGAACAAAGTGAAAAAAGTATTCTGTAAGTAATTTTTTTCCAGTCCGAGGTTTGGAATCTATTCATGGGTCTAGTCACAGTAAAATCTAGCAGAAAGCTTGAAATTTGTTTGATTTTGGCCTCTAGGATCTATTATTAGGACTATCATAGAGCCTTCAATCTACTAGAATCAGATACCTGAAAACATTTTTTTTTTCTTGACAAATTATTGACACATTAGCTTCCATTAATATAGGGAAGACTATAGCATCGTCTCCCTAATTTTGAGGATCTTTAGTTGATCCTATTACTCTAATGAACGTAAAATAATTCCTATATTACCTTATTCCAACTCTTAATTTTAAAGGGGAAAATTACCATTTTGGTTCTCAAACTATGGCTCAAAATAAAAGTTAGTTTTAAAAATATTTTTCATTACAATCTACTCCACGAACTTCTGGATTTGTTTCAAGTATCTATTCGACCGAATGTTATCAGTTTTACAAATGACAAAAGCAAGAGGAACTTATGCCTTGTTGGGAGTAGAATACTTTTTTTTTTAAATGAGAATAAATTTAAAAATTCATGTTAAAAAATTAACCCTTAGGGCTCATCAACAGAAAATGCACCAACCTAGAACTCCATCTCGCTTCTAACCGCCCACCTTCTCCGCAGCTCCGCTGCAGCCTTTCTCGCTGCCAGTCCTCATTACTTAGACAATGCACCAAGCATTCTACAAACCTCTGCAACCCACTGCATGTTGCTGCCATACCATCCAAACCGAACACACTACCCCTTAACACTAAAACTGCAACTTTCATCGTAAACACCTCAAGCATCACCAGTTTCTCCAGCCTGAGCAGTAGCTTCTTGACCAGTCTTCCCATAACATACTCTTTTAATAAAATGACCAGTTAGATTTTTAAGAATAAAATAAAAAGTTTTCTTTTAAAATTTAAAGCTATTTCCTTTCCCCTGCTTTTCTCCCAGTTAGGAAGAAAGAAAAGATGAAATTTTTAAGTGAAAAGGAGGGGTAAACACTATCCCTCTTTTCTGTACTAATTATTATTTTTTATTCCAAGAAGTTAAAGAAAAGTGAGTACAGAAGGATAAATATGGTCTTATACAATATTATTAAATTTTTGTATAGTCCATGTATACTACTATTAATGTATTCTTTATCAGGTTTTTATACTTAACCTTGTAAACTATAAATAGCATAGTTATCGAGTCAATAAGAATCACCAAAAAAGCATGTCTCTTTACACTTGTTTATGCTATTAGAGCAGAAGTTATCATCAAAGACCTGAATTTTTCTCTCCCCTAATGCTGCAATCATGACTCTTTCTTCCTCCATTATAGCCGATTCATCCTCCTCTTCTTTCCTTCAATTTTCATGTCCCTGACATCCATTTTTGGACCTTCAATCATAAAAATCTATACCATAAACAACTCGATTCCACAAATTACTTGGTTTAGAAATCTCTTTTTCTTCCTATCTTTCAAGGCCATGATGTCCTCTCTCATGTCGATGGGTCAAATTCTGGTCCAGTGAAAACGGGGATTGACAATGGCAAGCAGCTCTCAAATCCAGAAGCTCTTCTCTAGAAATAGGACAATTCTCTCATTCTCTCTTGGATCCAAACTCAATTTTTGTTTTGACTAAACAAAACAGTTATGTATTACTTGACAATCAATTCCAATTCGAATCGACTAATCCGGTATATTTTCCACATTCATAGGAGTTCCTCTATGTTTCTGCTTTACGAATATGATATTTTCTGGGCATTTCTAATAATATCAAGTGCTATTCCTATTTTGGCACTTCTAATTTCCGGAGTTTTAGCTCCAATTAACAAAGGCCCAGAAAAACTGTCTAGTTATGAATCGGGTATAGAACCGTCTCTTTGGATATTTGTGGAGTCCTCCCTTCTCGAAAGGAAGAACATGAAATTCTTCTTCTTTTCTGCAGGGATTAAGAAATTGGATTTAGCCATAAGAAAAATGTTTGGCTGATAAATAACTTACTTCTTGGTCTCCAACCCCCTCAATCACTATTAATACCTCGACCAGTGCAATAAGACATGCCTATTTATTAATCTCTTGACTCAAAGCAGGAATAGGTTTGAAAAATGATCTTAAAGTGTCTAGAATTGGGCCAAGAGGGTTTCTTAACGCCTTTTTTCTTTTCTCATTGCAATTATTTCACAAATACTTATCATGGTAAAGAAGAGATGAGACAAGCACATTTGGACTTTGATATACATATCATACTATCAATTTAACGCGCTCATTTAAAAGTGATAAAATATGTTTAAACAGTATTGGTCTTTAATGCATCGGGTTTAAATATGAGGTTGTAATGTGCAAATACTATTTTTGTAATATTTTCATTTTATGATTGGTGAAATGAAAATTGCAAAAGTTTGTCTATATAAAACGCGGTTATGATTCCCGAATTACAAAATTGTCATTTTATTTTTTTGAAATCCCATCATAAAAAATAAAAAAAAAATTAGTTTTTAGGCACCATGTTAATTCAGAAGATTTTACCACCGACCGCGAACAATTCTTTCGCGATAGATTCAGATACGCTTTAGCTTACATTTCTCATTAATTAAATATGAGATTATATGTTTTGTTTTTATAAATTTACGGATTTAAAAAGAATTTTTATTTCAACAATTAGTATTAGTGACATTTCTCTATTGAATTTTTGAGAAAAAATTTTTTACTTTGTAATTTTAAATTTTAGATTCATAATTTTAGATTTTGAATTTTATTTTTGTTGGACTGAATTATATATGCAGAAATATATGCAAAAGAAATATATATATATGCAGAAGATTAAAAAAATATATATATATATATTTATATATATGCAGAAGTTTAGAATTAAATATGTATATATATATATGTATGTCTATTGAGGATATATATATATATATATATGAAGCAGAAAAACAAGAAAGAAAAGCAGCAGCCGACCGCCGCTACATGAAGAAGAAAGGCCGGTGATCACGCGACCGTTCGGCAGCCAAAACGGCTGCCGAATCTTGTGCATAACGGTTGGAAATTTCCAGCTGTTACTGTAGCATTTATTTTGCAGACGTTACAGGCTGCATGAGGAAGGAGGAGAAGAAAAAAAAAAAGAAAAAAAGAAAGTTTTGGCCTGCTTGGATTTTATTGTTGTGTTTTAAATTTTAAATTATGTGGGCTTGGTCCACAAGAAGGAAAGAATAGGAAGAAAAGAAAGAAAAGGAAGAAAAGAAAGAAAGGAGAGGCCCATTTGGGTGGGCCAAAGCCCAGGCAGTTTTTGGCTAGGCCAACCCGGCTCAGGACCGATCCTGTGTTGACCGGACCCAGTCAACGCTTGACCCGACTTGATCAACGGTCAACTTTTGACAAAAAAAATATTTTTGGTCATTTTGTTGTTGATTTTCTTACTAATTCAATTTAAATTTGGTTTTAATTTTAATATTGGTATATGCATATACATATTGAAATAAATTAATTTACACATGTTACTAAAGTGACATCTTTTATGGATAATTTATTTATTACATAGTGTAAATAGTTGTATACGTGTAATTTATGTGAACACTAATCGGTCCAAAAAAATATTAATATTTAACATTATTGTATTCCATTTTTGAAGTAATGAATACGTGACAGTTATTCAGTACAACATGTAAACTTTAAATCGACCCAAATGAAGATTTATTATTTGATGTGTTTCTAATGTCTGTATTTAATTACTGTTACAGGGTATCACTTACAAGTTAATATTCTGTTCAAAGATAAAATATTAATGGAGTGCTCG